ATTTGGATGGTGATTAGACGTGGTTCTTGGCTTTCAAGTGGAGGGATTTATATTGACTTTCATTCTCACGAAGCAATTCGTCACAAATTCATCTGACCCACGGAATTGAATAAGTTTGAAACAATGGTCTGAGATGCCTTTAAAGTGGACAGGCATTTTGATAGTCATCATTAGCCCTTTAGTTGACTTCGGGCTTCACAGAGGGGAGGAGGAACATCAAAGTGAGAAGAATTCAGGAGGGGGAATAGAAGGGTGCTTCAAAGATGTAAAAGAAATAGGCACAAAGGCTCAGAAAGGGTAAGATGAGTAGTGGTAGGGGTCGAGTATGACATACAGTAGGGGTGATGGTAGTTTGAAGTGAGAAGTTAACTGCCGGTTTATAGACTCTTTTGCCGTATGAGTATACGTTGCCCAGGGTGCACCACGTGGAGGTAAGTCTATCGCGACTTGGAAGGAAGTAAGCAATGTAAACGAAGAGAGAATGAGTTAAGAAATCTATAAGCAGAGAATTAATCGATTGCCATAATTTCTTGAAAAGACACTTATTGGAAACGCGTCGAATCGCCTGAAAATCTGAGCTCAAAAGCACATTTGAAGCTAATAAGAACAGTTCCAAATGTAATTACTATGAATGTCGAAATCAACGATTGTTTCGACCTGAAGTCTCGAAAATATCCAATCCTCTTATCTCTTCTTCAATGTGCTGTCAACCATCCTTCATTTCATTCACTTTCACCTTCGATCCACACACACTATGCCATCTATATACACAAATCTATTGCTTTAGGACGATTGACCAAAGCTTACAGACAACCTCACTCTCACCAATGACATATCAACTACTGAATTTTCATCCTTGGTCTTGGATATACTATCATGTCACTCACCCAGTTATTGACTAGTCACATAGCCAATCACTTCCTACGCATCCAAACCACATAAACAGTCACTTCCATGGAAAATGAACAGTCCTATGAATGAAACACTGGTCGCTTCCAACTCCTGTCTTCTCGCTTCTGGGTCAGAGCAATCTTAACCATTCTCCAACACCATTGAGACTTCCAAGTTCTACAGTTAAGATGCAACTTCATTAAAAATGGCAGCGATCCAAGTCTCCCACAGTAATCGACTAGCATTTTCATCACATTAGAGCAGATTCAATCTATGCCTCAACAACGCCAGGACGACGATCATGAAAATTCATCCCAAATTCGACCAAGTCAAAACCTCTCAGCATCATTCCCAACAAGTCCGAATTTTCCCCGTCGAGCTGAAAATGGCTAGTTTTAAGCTAATTGTTTCTAGACATATTCCGTACTGAGATAACAAATGTCTCTAAGGCAAAAATAGCCTCAGTTGCCTCCAAATTATTGACATAACGGAGTACGGCGCATTTAAATAGCACAAACACGCACACACACACACACACACTCACCATGATAAGGCTATTCCACAATAGTAATTACTAATTACCCCACTTTGGATGTAAATAACTGCAATCCGGCCACCCCCATGCCAATGACCACGTCGAGTCAAAACAGCCCAGTCACTCGCAGTTCTAAGGTGTTTGCGCACCAAACAACTCCTCCTGGTGGTGCCCACATACATTCACTCATCACCGACGTTTCACCACTATTCCTTACCTCCTCGCCATACATGGAAGTCCCGTCGAAGAAACACACACAGAGAGGCAGGGAGAGAGAGAGAAGTCAAGAAGTAACATCTTATTTCATTTTCAGCCTAAATGCCCTAAAATAGCTAGAACAGGAAATACAGCGTGCCCATTTAAATACATTGTGCAGATATATAGACATGATGAGAGGGAGTGGGAGAGGAAGAGAGAAAGAGAGGGGAGGGGGAGGCAGACGGGAAAGGTCTACGGGTAACAATGAGAAGGAGGAAGAGAAGACACAGACATTCACACTTTTCAACACAGCGCCTAGGTAGACACATTTGAGACCTGAGGAGAAAAAGTGTGCCTTCCGAGAGAGTTATGGGGTCATTGCCTAGTGACACAGCCGATAGAGTCACCAACAAGACAAGAAATCAGGAGGGAGGGGGGAGGGGCAAGGAAAGGGATGGATGTGTCAACATGTTGCCTCTCCTATTTAAAGACAGACAAGAGAACAGGTTGAGATACTGGTCTTTCCACCTCTAACCGAAGGGCACAAAGGAGATAGGCGCAGAGAGCCCGAGAGACCTGAGGACCACCGCGAGTTCGAATTGCACAAGGGGGATCTTGCAGCAACACTGTTTATACACACATACGCACACAAAAACACACACACACGCACAGTCAGGCGAATACTAAATTCGGTATAAAATTACACCAGAGTTTGTTGTCGTCGATTTCGACTATTTACAACTGAGAAGGAAGAAGAGGCGAATAGTCAAAGAATACCTGAGGGGGGCGAGGGGGGGGGGAGAGGGGCCAAGGGAATCATACATAAAGACATCGGGCACATGGGAACGAGATTGCATTTTGGGGAGAGGAGGAAGGGGGGAGGGGAGGAGGGGCCAAGGGGAATAAGAATGGGGACTGTGCGTACCCCTCCAGACGCTTAATCAATAATGGGTCAATTGTCTATTCAACACAAGGGAGAGGACCAGTATTTCATCAAGGAATGCGCAGTTGAGATTCGACGGGTCAATAAGGATGAAGTAATGATTTTACGATTGGCGCTTCTTAATTCACAAACTCAGGGGGTTGTCTCATGATTACAGTAGTTGGCATTTCCTCTTCCCACGTTTCTTCTTCTTCTTGTCATTTCCCTTCTCCTTCTGAAAGTGCAAATAAACACCACGATTGAGATAACAAACTTCATCCCAACTTGTCTTCCTACACCCTAACCTATTTTACTCAAGCAATAGCTCAAGTCCACTCTAGTCTAGTCTATTCTCAAACTGTGCATGCTTAACACCCATCACTTCTCAGTCATTCATTCACGCAAATAATACAACAAAAAAATAGTAACATAAAAACAGTACCAAATATTCTGGCTACCAAAGCAATCAATGGAATATAGGCATCGAATTTTTGTCACCATATAACTGAAATGAATTTAAATACTCAAAATTAATCAACACCAATAAAAGGAGGTCAAACTCTACTTTTATCAGATCGCAATTAACTTTGCTACATTCTTCAAAAACATTTTCACCATTATTTTCTTTATATCTATCTCCCACCCCGAGGATTAAGTCTCATCTCAATTTGTGATTCCGAGATCAAGGACACCCCAGTGACCTGATCAACCCCAGGTCCAAGAAATCCACTTCCTCAGGCATCACATTCAAAAAGCATCAACCATACCTCGAGTCCACCTTCCAGAACTCATTAAAAATTATACACAACAGGGACACTACCATTATTGACCATTCTTTATTTTGCATTGATTCAATGAAACAAATATCCACACACTTGAAGGCTCCAATGAGCCGAAGAAGGTAGGACAATGGGAGGCTGACACACAATAACTGATTAATTCAACAGATAGAATCCACAGGTTGTGCACTAGTAATACGGATATCTCAGGACCTTACAGACCATCCTCACATTCATCTTTCTTTTCACCAACACTTTCTGGAAAAAAACCCTCTCATCTCTCAAGTCAGACGTCACCAGAATGACAGAACTCATTGGTCAAAGATGACTCGAAGAGGATTACTCACAACATTCAACTCTCCACCATTTAATAAGCAACTAATAACTCCGGAAATCCAAGAATGAGAATGCCGCAAACATCAAATCCTTTGAAATTGTCTATTTGGAATGTATGCCCTCTTTGACAATCGGACAAACCTTAACTGCTTGTGATTTGACTAAAGTATACAAATTACAAGTGTTGATGGGTGGAATTTTGCTTCATGCTCCCCTATCTCTACCAACGGTGAACACCATCGACGATTACATGGTTTGGTATTGCTTTCGGTCACAATGACCTCCTCTCATTAGTCCACCCTGACTCCAGGTGTATGCTTCACTTCGGTCCAGCACGGTTGTGAGCCTACCTCTGACACATCGGGAGAGTAGGGGAGGGGGTTCATAGTGTGGATGTACTTCTTAACAAAGCACTGTGGCTCAAGAATAACTTCTGGAAAACGATTAGACAGTGATGTATCAATGTCCACGCGACGACCACACTTCTCAACAGGTCCTATGGGTATTACGCACTGTTGCTTCAACTGCTTCTTCTATCCGAGAATAATTACCATATTGAAAACTAACTTCATAATTTTTGCCTTTATTCAAGCTTAAGGAATCATATTAACGGTGAGGGGGTGGAGGAGTAGGAAGTAAGGGTCGATTTAGCTGACAGCGTTTTTGTCATGTGAACAATTAAAGAGGTGCTTACGCTTGATCAAATCGTCAAATAAAGCTGAGATTTTAAATCCATAAAAACACCTCAAATGTATATACCTATGCTACACTACATCTTCCTATGAGGCAATAAACATGGAATGGGTACAAAACATGCGAAAGAGAATAAACGAAAAGTCAAACGAAGTCAAAACATCGAGAACCTTGTTTAATTGTATTTTGGAAACAGAATTGACTGAGGGACGTAATTCACTTTGTAACTCTCAGATTTTCTAAAGGCAAATTATCACGATTTACGCGTTGGGCTTCTTTGGTTAACTTCATATTAACGATAACCAGAAAGTGTCGATCGGTTACTATAACAGCAAGCCACTTTGACTCGCCTGTACTTGTTCAGTCATAAGAGAAGGTAGATCAGATTATTAAAAGCACTTCGAACATTGTGGGATTAATTATAGGTAAGTTCTAATAGTAAGTTTTACAGATGTTATCGTTTGGACAGGGAAACAGCCCACAGTAACCACTATTTGACATAGATGAGCGTTGGAAAGAGGACACGTTCAGTGGCTTACTGTAACAAAACACGATAACGGAGCTTATGAATGGAGTAATTACGCAAAATGACCACAAATCTTAGTGAGATACCTTATACTACTAAAATGAAAGAATGTTTTACAACTGTCGCTTTCGAAATTTTATATATTACTTAATAAACCAGCAGTAGTAGAATTCATCATTAGGTGAGTGAGAAAAGCTTGGCAATGTGCCAGTGCCATTAATCACACATACACACACATATATACAAACACAACGACTAGACCGGCCAACGCTTGCACATACACGTATGCGGATGTACAAGAATGAAATGTATTAGAAGTGTGTGTGCGCGCGCGTGGGTGCATGTGTGTCTGTGCACTTCGGCGGGATGACGCATTCACCAGAAAATTATTTAAGTAGCATACAACGAAAATCAAAGATCACAACACTTTCTTTTACAAAAGAACTCATATGAGATCAAGAGGTCATATTGAGTAAACTCAGCCGGCCTCTTTTACGTTTAAACTATCTTTGCTCACGTGGCTATAAGAAGGCATAAATGAAACAGGATTGACTCAATTTACCTTCCATTAGATCAATTGATGAAAAAGCCCTGATAAGAGGGAAAAGAGATCACTTAATTACAAAGAACAAAAGTTTCTGAAAATTGAGTTTTGGGAGATTTTCCTGTTACAATATAAATTATAGATATTGCGACTTAAACTAAATAAGACCATTGATATCATGGCTATTTTTATCGATTCAAGTGCCATTCCATGATTATTTAATGTAATGTATTTAATAATGTAAATGAGGTTATAAAAGCAAAGCAAAGAGTAAAAAGTATTTCCAAATTAGGCTAATCTCAATAATGAATAGCTACTCTACCGAGACGTTTTTATAACAAATGAGTTCCGCATAGGCATTCCAAAAAATTCGCGAGCTATAAACAATAAGTTTAGAAAGAAATGGGTATGATCATCAAGTTACTTCGAGGACACAGGAAAAATTCGTGTACTTAACAAGAACGCGAAATACCAAATAAAGTGAAACAACTTTGACACGGCAACTTATTACAGAATTTCATTTTATTTACTCCTGGCAATTAGACTTCTCCCATCTATAGGAACTCATCAGAGAAAATAAATAGAACTGAAGAACTAAATAATAAAGCGCCTGAGCCAATTTGATATCATAATTTTCATTAACAACAATTTTGTGGCATAAATTCAAAATGTTAGAGAAAGTTAAATGCATAAAAGACTAAAGGAAGTAAAATTAATTAGAGAATTCATCAAAAACACTAGAAATCCTAAGCATATAAAAAAGAGAGAACTTACGAATTTGCGGATTTCCCTGACGAGAGTGAAAAAGGCTTCTTCCACCCCCTGACGCGTTTTTGCCGACGTCTCCACATAGGGAATGTTGTACTCCTCCGCAACTGCCTCCGCCTTCGCCGTCTCAACTGTCCGCACCGATAAATCCACTTTGTTACCAATCACTTTAAGAGAGAAAAAAGAAACAAATAAACGAATGTGAAAAAGAAAACTCAATGACACTCCACACCGTGCACTCTCATTCGCATTACTTACAAACCATAGGCACTTCGTCCGCGTCTTTCACTCGCTTCACCTGCTCCCGATACTGGTTAATATCCTCGAAGCTCTTTGCATTATTCACTGCG